ACAAGTGTCATGAAAGGATTTGCTTTTAGTATGGTTAATAGATATATATGGAATATGATTGTCATACTGGAAAGAAAACACATAAGGTATAAATAGTTTACTTAAAGATTTTGCAAAAAAAAAAAAAAAAAAAAAAAAAAAAAAAAAAAAAAAGGAGAAGCGAAAAAGGCGGGTAAATTTTTCACAAGGTAATGAAAGGTGTCATAGAAGGATTTGCTTTTAGTATGGTTAATAGATAGATATGTTCATTATACATTTTAATGTTATTTGTTATATTGCTCAGATTTTAGTTTTATTTTTCCACTTTACGAGACAATGTCGAAACCTGAATAGTTCTAAATAAGTTCAAAAGCAGCAACTAAAAAACTAAAGAGTTCCAAAGAGACTTCAACGAAAGAGAATGAAAAGAAAGCTATTGAACAAAAGACTACCAAAGAAGCATTAACGGTTGAAGCAGCTCAACAACAAAATATTGTTCAAGAAGTAGCACTTGAAGCTTAAAACAAGTTAATGATAATAATTTAAAAACAACAGCCGTTTATTTTTTATTTACACCATTGAAATGTTCAATCATATAGTATTAAATGTAGTAATGTACTATCATTTTTTAGCTTTAAAGTCTCTTCATTTTACCCTTATATTATAATATTATAATGTTTTTTTTTTTTATTGTAATGTTAATTTCAATTATTGAATATTTTTTCTTCTAATTTGGAGTTCTTTTTCCATTTACAGAAATGTTCATGTCATCTGATGAAATATACATTTCAATATTGTAATATTCATTTTCAATTTCAATGTTCCTTTGCAAATAAATTTAATTACTAAATGTTCATTTTTTTTTTCTATTAAATGTACATTCTTGTTGGAGCGAAACAGGCATATCGGAAGACCAGCTAAAAATCAATCAATAACTATACACTAAAGACGAATAAAAGACAACAAGAGACGAATAAAAGACAATAAGTGTCAAAATCTGGTTAAATAATTTCCCACCAATTTTTTTATTTACTTTTTTGCCAATTATCGTAAGGAAATTTTAAATCACTATAATATATTCTATCCTACTTTAACAATATCAATATATATTTGCATTCAAGTTAATTACTATTCCAAAACTTTCATAAATTTTATATAACGTAATCATTCCCTCCCAAACCTCCTTAATATCATGATAATACTTCATTGGCAATTGACTCTCTCCTCCTCTCTTCTATGGTTTTCTAAATTTTTTGGTAGTTTAGGCCGGAAATAGTCTAATTTCTTTGAAAATTAAACTATTTCTAACCCTTTTTCCCTTATTTTCTTTAGTTTTGCAATTTAGATTTTAATAAATCTACACGAGTAGTGTAGATGTTCATCCGTCTCCCTATGGTGGAGTCATTAATTTTTGTTCGTTTAGTAGTTTGTGTTAAGGTTTATTAAAAAGGTAATCATGTTTTGCCCTATATATTATCAGTTCGTTTGTAAAGAGTTGTTCGGGATCGCAACGGTTGTCAAATCTTCAAAGGCATTCAAGTGAATCAGATGAAAATCATCCTTACGGGCTACAACAAATCGTTAGACCGTCTCTCCGAAAACGTTGTATATTCCAGCGATGTGTGCGAGTAACATAGTTCAAGATCTATTCAACGATCGTAGCTTTGATGACGGAAAACCTTATTTGATTCAATTTTATATATTTGTTGATTTAGATTTCATTTGTAGATGTCGTATGGCTTTGATCAATAAATTGATTTATTTCATTAAAAAAAAAAAATTAGCTCCCAAATTCAATAAGACATTTTTGCAACCACTTATAGAAAATTTAAGCAAAAAATTATTATTAAAAAGATACGTATAATTTTCAATATAAATTTGTATACAGTATATGTATCATATGGGTATGTACAACCTAAAATTTACCATGAGTTTTTTTTTTTTTAATTATTATTATTATCTACAAAATATTGACCTTTGTCATACTTTTTATAAAGAGAAAAATTTTATTAAAAAATTGTTGAAACTTAAATTTTTATAAAATTTAGTAATGCACGGGAACCATAAACTAGTTTGCAATAAAGACCTACTACCGTCGTTTTGTAGTAAGCGCAAAAGTTAGGTATTGTACAAAGTTTTGGGAAAATTATAGGGTGGGGATCAAAATAAGATTTTTAAAGTATATTTAGTATGGATATATTTAACCTTTTAGTTTGACAGAAAAATTATAAAAAAAAAAAAAAAAATTGTCTAAATAGGATTAATAAAAGAGAGAAATAATAAAATAATAGTAGAAATTTATCAAATAAGAAAATTTTGCAATTATTATAAAATAGTTACAAGAAAAATGTTTTGCGATCATTACGGGGAAGTATTTGACAAATGAGACGCATGGAATGAGACCCTAATGGGACTCAAATGGTCTTCAACCAGAGGGTCCATGATATATTTAAGACGAATTTCCAAGTGCCCCTAAGGTACTTAAGTGTTATTGTATGGAAGGTTATATTACCTCACTTCTACTCATTTACTATTGACAAGGTCAAAAAATAAAATTTTTGACCATGTTTAACTGTATATGTATAAGAAAAAACATTATCAAGTTAATATTGTTACGAATTTTCAATACATTAATTTTGTATAATTTTTATTAATGCACCATAAAAAAATAATGATCAAAGTAGTTCATTAATAACCTTGTAAAATGAGTAACACTAAGGGAAAACAAAGGGAGTAACCTAGAATAATCTTGTATACATTATAAGAAAGACGGTAGAAACCTTAGCTTCTTGTACGTCCTACGTTTTTTTTATAGTTGCAACACTTTGACTTTTACACTATTCATGTGTTTCACTTTCACTAGTTTTGATAATTTATAGTTAAGCAAAAATATACTCATGTGGAATCTTGTTTGATTCATCTCGATTTATACTATTTTAACATCAAATGTTTATAATTTTTACATAATATTAGTAACTAAAGATATTAACATATGAAATTATGAATCGGCAAATGTGAAAAGAGAAGTGTTACAATTATAAAGAAATAGAGGAAGTATATAAATTCCTTTGGAAGTGAAAACATATTAGAGAGTTAACGTAGAAGTCTCCAAAAAAGGAGGTTAGATTATCTGGATGAATTAGGGTGATTCTAGAATTAGGGATAAAAAAAAGCCTATAGATAAGCACTCTCATCCACTCCCTTTGTCCTCATTTTTTTTGCATACAAAATGATAAATAGTTCAAACTTCATAAACTTTGACCATAAATTCTCATTAATCTAACAAGAGATACTATAGTCACAAGGGTCTTGGTAAATTTGCCTTATTGTATATTTAATTAATATCAAATTTTTTTTTATAATTTTTACGCGTACAGAAATAAAGTTATATACATTTTAATACGAGTCTCGAGACTGTAAAAAATCAAATGGGGTAAAAAAATAAGTACAAAGAGAGTATTTGTATATAGAAGATAGCTCATTGTGATCTATCTCTAAGCAATGCGTGTTTAGATGTCTCATCAGACACGGCCTCAGACATTCCCATGTGTATATTGTAGCACTACAACAAGAACATCATCTGCGGTAAACGTTGTCGTGGGTATATCAGATACTAAAACCAGACATGTTAATGATTTAAACTTCCATTAATGATCGATTCTCATGTTATATCGCTTAAACTTTTATGCATCATGACCACCCTCACCAGTAGTTGGTACCTACTTATGATCGGTAAGTGCACCAACCAAATTGACGGCAGTTTAAAATGTTAGTTTAGCATTACTAGTACCATTCTTGAATGGGTCAAAATTGGTGAAATTTTTGGCAATGAAATCAATCCTAAATACAATGTGAAATGAGAAAGACATTAGTGTCACCTCGTCGAATTTGGAAGAAATGGATAAATTAACCATCAAAACACTCCATTTGAAAAGGAAAATAATGTGTATCGTCCTAAAACTATTGTATTATAAGTGAACCCTCACACCTTCGACACATTCACACCTTCACCCAAAATTCAAGCGTAGATCTTACATATTTCTCAATTCCCGTCGATTTTTTTTTTAAAATCGCCCCAACATTGTTGCAATCGAGGAAGAGAGAAATAGAAAGGGAAATAAAGGGAAACAGAGAAAGGAAAAGAAAAATAGAGCATTCATTCACTTTCATTGGCTATTTAGCAACTTATTTTATCCAGTTTTTAGACTAGTGTAGTAAAACAACGTAATTGTTCTTCCAATTAGCAACCCTTGAACCCTTATAACCTATTCATGCAATATCTCATTTCAACACTAAGATATGCCACCTAGGTGTAAGGAGAGTCAGTAAAACAACGTTGCCTATAACAGAAAACTATATGACATTTTTCAAAACTTTAATCAATAAACAATTGAATTCACCCAATAATTACACATATTCTTGGAAATTAATCAATTTACCAATATTCTTAAAACCTTACTTAGACTCTTAATCACATCAAGTATCCACACTCACACTTGAGCATATCATTTTTAGTTTAAAATCATGAAATTCTTTAACAAAATAGCTGAGCTGAACACTAGGACACATACCCGTACTGGATATGGGTACAACATAGTTGAAAAGTCAAAACACCCCAATCAAATAATAGCAAGAAAAATCTATTGCTGCAATCGTATTCAACCACCAATACCATACCTTTCATACTACAAACACCATCCTATTGTTTCAGCTAGCTGTTTGGACAAAGGATCAATCACTTACTAAATTGCGATTTTGTGAATCTCAAGTATTAGAACCATACACAATACAAGCAATGACAAAAGTCATATCTAATAGAAGCATTCACATCATTTTCAATACAAACATAGTGAACCTCAATACAATGCTAAAGGAAGTAACTAATAGAGTAATAGAATTAAAGTTTTGCGAATACTCATACCTTAGTTAGATTATGATCACAAAATTCACCATAGATGTGATAAACACAGGCGAATTCCGTGCATTCAATCCAAAATGAAAATAACTTAACAAACCAAACATGAACTGAACACCAACAATTGATATTAATCAACAACCAGTATTCTACAAGCACCAATCCAATTGATTTCCAGATATATATATATATCTTTTATAAAAGACTAAAACATTCATACAAAACACAATTAGAAATCTAGAATTGATAGTACTAGTAAAATCAAACATTTTACCCATCTAGAGTGTTACCAAGTATGAAGGAGAAAAACTCCCGCACCGGCGAAAACTCGACCAATCCAATATCCATAGCATACCCACTAACCGGCAACTTCAAATCCCTCAACACACTAAACGCTTCCGCCATTCGATTCTTCGGCACCTCCTGCGCAACCGGGCAAACGGGCACCCACGAATCGACTCGATAATTATCCCCAATATCAACCCCTTCCTTCTTCAGCAGATCACAAAGCTGAGAATGGAATTGGAGAAGGGACAATGTAGGGGTAGGAGAGAGAAAAAGGAGATTGCCCTCATTAGGGAGAGACCCAATTGAGGAGAAATTCAGGTGTAAAGGCTCTTGTTTAGCAGCGAAAGATTTGATTAAGGGTTCAAGCTTTGATGGATCTAAAAATGGCGATGAAAATAGGGTGATGTGGGGTCGAGATTCGATTTCAATGAGCTGGGTACTGATTTGGCGACGAGCAAGAACATTCCAAGCTTTGAGAATTTGGTTTTCTAGGGCTGGATCGAAGTAAAGTTCGATTGAATACCCTTGTGACATTCTTGATTTTGGAAATTGGGTTCAACAAAATTGGGGAAAATTGGGGAAAATTAAGGGTTTTTCTTTTTAATTCATAAGATTTGGGAGTAGAAGTTGTTAGTGAGTAGTAGGAGAAGGGAAGAATTGTCGTCTTATACGAAGTAATTTGTGATGGTAAAGGGTATGGAATTGTTTTTGGGAGAACGATTCACGAAATGTAAGAGCAAAACCAATCAAATTGATAACCTTCTGTCTTGGTTGGGTTTGGTTAGAATCTAACAATTTTATCTCCATATACGGGCCCTAAGGTTGGAGGGGTGGAAATAAGACGGATAAAAAGGGAGAATAAAGATATGGGATTGATAGGTGGGACAAGAATAAATAATTTTTTCCCCATATTTGGTAAGTATGGGAAATAAATTAGGGATAAGTAATAAATTTATAATAATACCCTTTACCCTTTCTCCCTCAAAACAAACACTACATTTCTTCCATCCCTATTTTTTTATCCTTGTCCATCCCTTTTATCCCCTAAACAAACACCCTCATAATGTACTTGCTATTAGAGTAGTTGGATCATCTATTTGGTTGGCTAAGTTTAGTTCAGTTAATTTCATTTCAATTTACTTTAGTTCACTTTAACCTTGGTAATTCGAGTTAATTTATGTCAAGTTCTGATTACTTAAAAAAAATATTTAGTAAAATTAATTTTAGGTCAGTAAAAATAAGTTCAATTCAGTAAAAATAAGTTCAGTTTAATAGAAAATTAATAATTGTAAAAAAGGAAAATAATAGAAAATCAGTATAAACGATTTTGAGCGTAATGATTATAATAGAGAGCGTAGTTTTTTTTTTTTAAAAAAAATCTTTTAGGTAGAGACCATGAAAGAAAGAGATACGATAAAATATTTTGAGGGTAGTTATAGGAAAGAGAGAGAAAAAATTTAATATGATATAAGTTACCGAATATATAAGTGATGCAAAAAATCACCCAAACGTAGCAAGTGATACAAATATGAATAACAAAGGGAGTAATCAAAGATGAATATAGCAAAACTTAAAACACAACATGACATAGAATTGATAATAATCCGTACATAATTAGAAATCGTAAATGAATTGACTTGTTTACATCCCGACTTGATATGAAACCAAATATGTTATAACCTGACAAAACAACTTAGCTTGAACCCGATTATAACCCGACCATTATTTAACCGAATGAAACCGACCTATTAAATATTCACTAATAAAAACCGACCCACCAACAAAGTGAACTTGTTTCAATTCAATCCAATCAAATTTGACTTGCTACCCGATTGACCAGGATTTTTAAAGTACTGTCCCAATAATAACCCAAACCGATATGAACCTGAACCCTGATTAGCCTGAATAAACCCGCTTTTAACTCGAACCATTTCAAACCAACATGATCATGACTCAAACAATTTACGACCTGAACCAAATTAAAAATGTACTAAAACAAACCAAAACTAAATAGACTTGTTTATAATCCAATCGAACTGAACCGGCCCGACCAGGTAGCCAAATGAACTCGTTTTAACATGAATCGTTTCAACTCCAGCCGAAACCAAACTGTTGAACGACTGGAATTGACAACACTACTCACTATATTTACACCTTTTTTTTTAAAATAAATATTTACACCTTTTTATAATAGTAGTAATTCTTAAGCGCGACATAGCTAGCCCTATATTTGCATGATATTTTATTATATCTATTTGCATATAAGTGATAAAAGTGTTGGATGTTGTGTAGTTGTGCAATGTTCGAAACTTTGGTAGATCTACTTTGATTTAGCAAGGAAATGGTAAAAAAAATCAAGTTCTAGATATATAAACGTCTAATAAATTTTTAAATACTTGTTGAAACGAATTGGATAAATTAAACAAGTTATCACACAATTATATACTCCGTGATTTTAAGTACTTATTGAGACAAGTTGAATAATTTAAACAAGTCATCATACAATTATATACTTCGTAATTTTTGTACTCCATATATATTTGAAAGTGAAATTCTACAAGGTAGCCTCAAGGATTCAGTTTTTTTACATGGAAGACAAACTTTTTTCCAACTCTCTTAAGTGGCACCAAAGTTTTGAAAAATGAAGCATAGTGCCCAATTTTTGATTTTTTGGATAACTTTTTTAATTTTTGGTTAACCATAAGTAATTAAAAAATTACTTTTTTTTAAAGAAAAAAAAATAAAAAAAAGTGACTAATTAAAAAACTACCCCCACCAGCCCAACCACCTTCCACGGCCACGCAGCCCCACCAGCCCGAACCCCTGCCTGGCCCTCAGCCGGAGCGCTGCGCCAACCACCCTCCCCCTCCCCCTCCCCCTGAACCACCGTCTCCCCTCCCCTCACCCTGAAACCACCAACCACCCTCGAAATCCCCCTCCCCGTCCCGATCTTATCCCCCTTGAAAGGAATGGTGTCCTTCCAACAAGTGTATTATTACAGAGCTAATTCTTCAGTAAGGTCAAGTGATCGGAATGCCTAGGTGGAGGTCGCTTCCGATTAGTAATATCGAGGTGCAATTGATATTACAGCTTAATCTTAACTGAACCCTTCGGGTCGAACCCAATCGAATCTCCGATCCGAGACGTCGAATTAATCCGAAAGGATTTAATGAGACGACAGAGTTTTACGAATACAGACGTCGGAAATCGAGCCTAGGGCGTCGATACCGAGCGTCGCAAAATCACAAGCAACAAGTATGAGCGTAGCCGTAGCTAGGCTAAGCTAGCTCATAGCATGCCTAGGTGCACCATGTGTGTGCTAGGCGCACCATGGTGTGCAAGGCACCATCGCAGCCTAGGCGCGCCCTGGCAGCTCATCGCAAGCTAGCAACATGCTAGCATGGGTGCCTGGGTGCGCATGGCAGCTATCGCAAGCCACACAGGCACCAGGCAGCCCATAGCAGCTAGCAAGCATGCTAGCGTGGTGCCTGGGTGCATATGGCGGCTATCGTAGGCAATGGCCGCACCAGGCGCACCATGGCAAGCACTAGGTGCTGCGTGCGTGCGTGCCTGGCTTGGCAGCACCATCGTAAGCACCAAGTGCTGGCATGGTTGGCTACCTGGCAATGGCGCGCCATGTGCGTATGCTTGTGTGCTAGCCTTCGCATGGCAGCACCAAGCATCGCAGCACATGCGAGAGGCTGCGCGCCAGCGTGATGCTAGGCCTCGCACAAGCAGCCTCGCACCACAGGCGTATTGATGCTTGTGGGCTGGCAATGTGTGGTGCGTGGCGCATGGCTGGTGTATGGCGCATGGCTGGTGCGCGATGCGAGGCATGTGCGACCAACCAATGCGTGGAATGTGAGGGCCAGCATCAGCGATACCCAGCAGGCACTAGCTGGGCGATGCATGGGTGCGCATGCGATGGCAAGGCAGCACCACGCATATGCGTGTGTGTGTGCCTGCAATAGCAACAAGGCAGCACCACGCATATGTGTGTGCGTATGCCTGCGGTAGCAAGGCACCAGCGCCAGCGCCAGCGATGCCCAGCAAGTGCTAGCTGGGCGATGCATGCTGTGCGTGCGATAGTGGCGCTGGGCAGATTGGTGCGTGATGCATGGTGCGCCAGCCAAGCAAGGTAGCTGGTTGTGCGTGCTGGCAGCGCCAGGTGGCAGCCAGCCTAGCTGCCTTGCAAATGGCGGTTTGAAGGGGAAGTGGGGACCAAAGCCACCAAGCTTCCCTTGGGGAGCAAGGAAATGGTCCCCCCCATGGGATATGGTCCTCACCTAACCCATTCTCTCCTTTTGCCACTTGTTGGCTTGTGATTGTTTTGCATAATTATTTATTTTAGAATTAAATAAATTATTGCAATTGCACATGATCCCACATTGATCATGAAAAGGGGTTTCAAGTCTCCATTCTCTATAAATACCCACTTGGTTGGGATTTTGAGAATACAACCTTGAGTGGAATTAAAAAGGCAACTCTAGGAAAGAGTAAACCTTTGATTCGTAAAACTCATGGTTATTTTGTCCGGGTCTTGACTAACCTTCAAGACTTAGGACGCTCGGGTCGGGTCGAGGGTACGATCCGTCGGAGATCTCGTCTTTTCGGGATTTTGAAGTAAGAGCTCTTTGGGAGCGAAGCACGCGTCAAAGGTATAATTCTTGTCCTTAATCTTGTTTGATTAAGTTTATTATGCTTGTTTAATTGCTTTAATTAAGGGGCGGGTCTTGGTGGGTTTCCTTCCGCGTAGTGTCGGGTCACTACGAAACCCTACAGCGGTATCGGAGCCACGCTCCTTTTAATTTTTGCAATTATTGTTTAATTAAGGTGTTTTAAAGAATTTATTTTTTTGGTTCATGTTCATCTTATTAGATTAGATGCTCGTTTTAATTAATTTTTTAAAACTCGATTTTATTATCGATTTGGCTGTCGAACTCAGTTTTTGGCTCAAAAATAGTGATTTTTGGGTGGAATCGACATTCTGGAACTGTTTCAGTGCTTTTAGTGTTGTCCAGAAGCCAAATTCGAACCAGAAACCCAATTTTTCTGGGGTTTTTCGTTTTTCAACGAAAGTTTTAATTCTTTTTAAGCCTTGATTAATGCAAGCATTACAAGGTTAGATTAAATGCACATTTGCATCACTAATCTACTGGTTTTAAAATATCCTTGAGCATAATAATGGAGTGTTTATTAGTGCTTAAGTTGATATACCAAGTTATCACATCAACTTGTTTTTCACAAATTTTGCAAATAAATTGCAATAAGGTGTGAAAACTTGTTGTGATTTTGTATTTTAAGTTCCCAAGTAATGTTAAAGTTCTAATCTTTAAGTGTTTAAATGATTGGAACCCTAACCCTAAATTCCATGTTGAACAAAGTTTGGATTTTTTCATGTTTTGGTTGATTAAAATCCATTAAATTCAAATTACTTGTGAGTAAAATTTGATAAATCTTCATATTGGAAGATGTAATCTTGGTATTTTACACAAGTATGCAAGTTGGAAAATTTTATCATTGGATGGTTAATTTATTTTTCCAACTCCCTTTTGTCAAATCCATGATTAATTTGCATATTGGCAAGATTAATTTTGGACATAACTCATTTTATTTTAAGCATAATGTTTGACCTAATTTTGTTCAAAATTGAAATTTTGGATAAATTTGGGCTTGTGCACCAATTAAAATAAAATTTGTTTAAGTTAGACTTAATGGTTGTTTTATTTTATTTTCCCTAAAATTAATTCTAAAATATAATTTGGAATTAATTCATGTCACACGTAAATCGGGAT